CAACCTTTCTTTTAATTTTGTGTTTTTAATTTTTTGGAATGTAAGGTTTGCTGATATTCATCTTACTATGCATTTTTTGGTGAATGGGATAGGTGGCAGATATAAAGAGGATGAATGGATTGGTAACGGACCTCCAAATGTTTGCTTTGAAGACTATTCACATACCATTGCCAGGGAGGCATCCCCCTTCTCCTAGCTTGTCCAATGCTCTTGACACTCCTCAACGGTATTTTTATCTTCAATAAGATTTTCTTATTTTGTTTTTCTATTTCTAAATGGCTTATAGAATGTTGTGAACAATTTTCATGCAAACTGATACAGTGTGCTGCCATTTCAATTTAGCAGGACCATAATATTTATTTTATGCTCTGTTTGTCATTAAAATGTTGCTGCCACATTAGCAAGTAAAACTCATAGCATCTCAGCGAGAATAGTATTTAGTATTTACTTTAAATATTAGTGCAGGATATACTTGTAGAAGCGGGTCAGCTGATAAAAAAATTTATTCATTTTCTTGGAATGCTATGAATCAATAGAAACTGAGCTTTGGTAATTGCAATATGAATGGTTTATTAAGGAGTGTCGTCTTTATGGTTTTAAACCTCCTTTTGAAATTCATATTTAGTTTGTTCTCCTTCATCTTCTCCATTTTAGCCTTTAACAGCTACTCATTTCAATGACTTTCTTCTTCTTCTTCTTCTTCTTCTTCCCTTTTGTTTGTTTTTGTGTGTGTGTGTGTGTGTGTGCGTGTGCACGCGTATTTTAAAGCTCTCTTTTCTGTCAATCCTTACACATAAGCCTGAGAAATTGATACTGACAGTGCCTATGAAGTGTTAAAGTTTTGAGTATAGCTTAGATTTCTCTGTTTGGGAGAGCTAATTGTTCAAAGAGAAGTGATATTTTTGAACTGGACTTAAATATGTCCTATGTAAAGTAAATTGGTCAATTCAGTTAATTTAACTGCCATTAGTTTGGCATGTGCTTTTTGCTATTTTTTTTTAGCTGACTGATTGTTTGTATTAATGGAAAGTACTAAACTTGAGCAATATATACTCCTTGCCGTCATATTATTTTGCACCAAATAGCCATTAGTTATTCTCATATAGCATTCCTCTTCTTCAAAATATGGTTTTCCTTTTGTTTTTGGGTCCCACAAAATATGAAGCTTTTATAGCAATGGTGAGGATATTGGTGTAGCAAACTGAAGTATTTCTCTCTCTCTCTCTCATTTTTTTTTTTTTTTTTTAAACCTTTTAAAATGAAGACGACATTTCAGTAATTGGGCTCGATATAAGTTCAAGGTCACTGCTTCGTGTTTTCAACGAGGAAACTGGCAAATATAATCATAGATCCAGAAACAAGAGAAGCAACATTGCATTAAAACCTCAAACTAAGGAGTGCAATTTTAGAACTATGTGAGTTAATAGTTCTGCATTACTTTGACACTGAATCCAATGTTTGCCTGTTACTTATCTATCTATTTATTTTCTGGGTTTGGGTTGAGATCAGGTTGGGGTGGGGGGGTTGACAGTCAATTATTAGGTTGGGGATCGTTTTACATTATGGTTGTCGTCTGCATCTCTTGCATTTTTTTTGTATTATATGAACTTTGGGAGCATGTGTAATACCAAAAGCTGATACGCAAGGACCCTTATATTATCTTATTGAACTGAGGGGAGAAGAGAAATATGCAGAAACTATGAAGATTGGTTCATCTTTAAGAATGTTGTTCTTACATCATTTTTGAAACTGCATTTAAAACAACCATGTTTTTGTGCATATTCCAATTTTGATGGGTTCCAATTTCCTAGATTGTTGTCTTTCATCATATACATTTCTACAAGAATAAACATAATGTTTTTAACTGAAACTCTGGTGTCAAAGTAAGATTTGCAACTCCTCACCTGCCAAAATAAATAAATGAAAGACGAAAAGGAAAAAATTTAAATGATGAGGTTTCTGAATTACGTATTAATTAATTTCCACTTGCAGATCAAGCAGCTCTGAGCAGACTCCATCTCCCCGCAGGCATTCTGACTTGTTTGATTCCCTTCAGTCACTGAAACTGAAATCTTCTTTGGGACAGAAAGTTTCTCCAGGCATGAGCAGTCTTCAAGGTTTTTATGGTCTTAAACCAGTAGGTCAGAAAGCTGCACCAGAAGGTTTTGAAATGGCCGTGTATCGAAATGGAGCTCATTATCTAGAGGATGGGCCTCTTGGAAAATCTTCACTTACGTCTAACCCACCGCTAAGTCATCACAGAAAATCAAAAAGCGTAGCTAGTGACTTGATGTCAAATAATGGTCATTGGATCAATCAGCTTTTTTCTCTAGAAACTGAAGATAGTAACTTGGGTAAGTGGATTGAGAAATTGACCCGAAGGCTTCCAAAATTAGAGGCCAACTTGACTTCGCGCACCCCAGAAAAGCTGCTAAAGGAGGAAAACAGCAATAGTGGTGGATTTTCAGCTATTACGGGCAAAAGCTTGGCTCTCAGAGCTAAATCTGCTAGTCGAACTGCCTCGGGAGTTGATGCTCAAGCAGGTGGGCATAACCCAATTCCTGTAAGTTTGGGGGATTCTTTTCTAGACAGTTTCGCTGCAGTAAGGAAGTCATCTAGTACATCGAGTTTGCAGGATTCAGATAACTGCACATCTTCATCCATAAGGCCCATGCCGAAGTGGAGTTTGAAGCCAGATTTTCAGGCCCTTTCTACTGCAGCCTTTTTTGATGGCCTTCCTAATCCAATGGGTCGAAGAAACAAGGCAGCACTTGATTAATGAAAATTCTTTAACCTATCAAGTTAAGCATTTTCTTTTTCAAATTATATTTAAGCATTCATCAGTCAACGTTAGATAGCATAGCAGAAATGGAAACAGGGAAATAGAAAGTAAATTACTATATGTGGATGACATTGCATCTGAATTTTGATCGAAGGATAATTAATATTCATAGAGGAGTTGAACCTTGATAGGAATGTATATTAGATACTTGCATATGTTTATTAGAGAAAGGAAGGAGATAGGGGGATGAATTTGTTTATAGCTGTAATTTACATATTTTTACTTTAAGGTGCTTTACGTTTGTATTTGAGTATCGATCACTGAGGTTCTCCTTTCATGTTGGAGACGAGGTATCAATATAGATGTAATGACATTTTTAATAAGGGTCCAGCGAACCCCATTCTTCTTTGTTAATTGATAATATTATCTTCCAACTGTATATTGAGGCCTAAAGCTATAACCATTTGATTATTCAATACGTGAAGAGTAAGGTTATTCAGCACCGTTGGTGTTCAACACTAGTTTATGTGATAATTGCATGACGTTAAATGGCGGATTCACTTAAATACAACATCACATGATTCATTTAATTAAATTAAACTTATCAAATATGATCACCTAAAATGGTGCTCTAGCACCATTGGTGTTAGATTGTCTGACAACATTAGGCAAGAGATACAATCCATGTTTTTCTACTATAGCGAAAGTTAGGGACGGCAAAATGTTCAGATCCTGGTATGTGATGTCTTGCTCCAATAGGTAATTGTGTTAGTACGAAAAAAATATGGTCTTCACACACTCTTATTTTATTTTATTGAAGAAACTTAAAAAAAAATGTAAATGGAGGAAACGAGGTGGGAAAAGGTGATATTTTAATGTCTGATGAAAATTATAAGATGGAGAAGGATAGAGAATGTCTGATGTGCAATCTAGGTGGCAATAAAGTTCGTGGACTTCATTGTCACACGATGTTGAGCATCACTATAAATCACTACTATTGTTTAGTACTAGTTTTGATGACAACGTGGTCCACTGTGCAATTTGATAATTGATTGTATTATTCAAAATTTAACTAATTTTAGGCCATGAACCTGTAGAGAGGCACTAAAAGTTGAGCACTAAATAAGATGGAATGGAATTTTGTTAGACGATATTTAGGAACTTGTTAGACAAATTTAAGGTACTAAAAGTTTAGTATACATATGGATGCGATTCGCCTCTTGCCCAAAGCCGTTGTGAATAGTATAACATCATCAGCAAATACGAGAGTTAATTTGATAAATGATCATTGAATTGCTATAAGTTATTATTTATTCATCGAATTCAAAAGATTACTCTTTGCTTACTGAGCTTTGATATAGATTATTAATTGCTCGTCGAAATTTAAAATATTACTCATTACTCATACAAACTTAAATAAAATTACCCATTAATTACCTATATCATTTTCATTAGTGTTACCTATAGCAAAGTTTAATGAGCAATAAGTACTTTTGTTTAGATTTGATTGAGCAACGAGTAAATTTTTAAATTTTGGTGACCACGTAATATAACATATAGCAAAGTTCCATGATCAATAAGTAATTTCTTAAAGATCAATGTGCAAGTACTAACTATACTACAGTTCAACAATGGCTGCTCAACTACTAACAGATTACTTTACGAGGGCTTCATTTAAAGGGTCTGGTCAAATCAGATATTAGTTTAAAGAGTCCACCAATTATTTTTAGTTAGAAGGCCTAAAGATATAAAAATACATTATTGCCCTAACTCTCATTTTAATTTCCATTTAACACTAATTAACTTCTGCATTCCTTTTTTTTTCTTTTTTTTCTTTTTTTCTTTTAACAAAAATTGGCTGTACAGGTATGTAACTCCTTTTCATTTTCTCTAATTAATGATCACATTCCTTGGAACACTCATTTGGTTGAAATGTTAAATCAAATCTTGCAACATTTTTGCTAGGCATTTGGTTAAGAAGAGGGTGTTGTAAATTTTCAATTTTTGGGCTACTTTCTTTCTCCATTTTTTGAATCATTTTTTCATGTTGTTGTATATACATCTGTGGTATTTATTTGTGAACAATGATTTTAAATTTATTTTGATATTGGATTAGAGTTTTGATATGAGTTGCATCCCAACCCTTTTCTCATTATCCGTTATTTGTATTAATTGGAGTGAAATGTAAGTTGACAAATGCATGTTTGGCTATTCTTTTCATTGTCCTACTATAAAACATACATTTGATTTTATTTTTCTTGTACATAACAAATTACATTTTTTTGCAATTCATAACAACTTACATATCGTTATCGGTATTGTACGATATTTGAAATTTGATGAAATTTTTATATTGAATTACAATTATTGACACCACGAATATGGTATGTATATCAGCTTGTTATCCAGTTGAATATGAACAGTCAGTTGAAAGTGCATGAAAATAGAAATATGCAGTGAATGGCAAAAGAAAAGCAATGCCTATTCTTATTGTAAAAATTATTTCTTATGTGGAATTATATGATCTAGTCAAAGAGATGTTGAACATCGATACAAAGCTATAGATAATGGAGATTTCAGCTCTTGTCCTCATAATGTCTAAAGCTTCAACTGCTTTGACCATGATTGATTGTGACAAAAATGTGAAGTAGTTTCTAACTACCGTAAAGAAACTTTTCTTTTGTGTAATTCTTTCGAATGAAGTTGTTGAAAATCAAGAAGACTCTGGTGATGAAGGATGTTTATTACTAATAGAGGGTGGAGAAAAAATTGTAAATGTGAACAATGAGAAGGAACATATTTGAACGAACGATGATGGTAACCATGACAAGGGTAATAAAATATTTTTAGATTGTAATGGTTTTGATGTAAGTGAAGATAGTCCTCGAAGAGAAAATGACGACAATAATTCTCTTGTACAAAATGACAATGACGTGGAGTTATACATGGATGAACTTTATAGTTGGAATGTAGCAAATGATAATGATGTCGAATGTAGTCGGATCGTATCTACAAATGCAAGCTCGCTCTGTTGTGGGACATTAGTAAGAATTTTGGAAAATAAAGACGTGCAAATTAACTAGTTGTTTACTTCAAAATATGAACTTAATATCAAAATTGCAATTACTGGCTGTGAAGTGTTACTTTGAATACAGAGTTAAGAAGTCGAATATGACCACTTATACAATTGTTTATATAGATGAAAATTGCAAGTGACGCTTGCGAGGAACCAAGATCATAAAAATTCATATTTTCAAAGTTCGAAATATAATGGTCATCATTCTTGCTTCATGAGACCATAGGCATGTTTCATATATGACATTGAAAACCACATCACCACTAAGTATCAAAATGCCAACCAAGTTTACAGATCAATGGACATCATTAATAACATTCATTGAGAGTTTGGTATAACCGTAAGCTATAATAAAAGGATATATAGCTAAATTTTTTGCTTGTGGATTGATCCGTGAAAACCTCGTAAGAATTATGTGAAATTGTCAGCATATTGTCATGTTTTGGAAATGCAAAATCCTGGTGTGCTGACATTCATTCACGCTACTGATGATCAACGCTTCAAGTATTTTTTATGGCATTGGGACCAAGTATACGTGGATTCGTCAACTTAATGTGAAGGTTAATTTTTGTAGATGATACATTCTTGAAATCGAGAATGAAATGTACTCTACTCATAGCAACTTGTCAAGATGCAAATTTTCAAACATTTTCACTCGCATGGGAAGTAGTTAATTCGAAAAAATAATGAATCCTAGACTTCGTTTTTTAAAAAGTTGAGATTAATAACAGGTGATACAGACGAACTTGTGATTATATCTGACCGTGGAGCATGTATTAAAAATGGAGTTAGAAATGCATTTCAGTTTGTTCATCATGATAATTGCATATATCACCTATAAAAGAACTTGAAGACAAATATTTCACGAAGTGATCTTGCAACTTTATATTAAGGTAGTTTTAGACGCTAATACTATAACAAAATTTGAGTCCAACACAGCAGCTCTGTACAGTAAAAGAAAGGCATCAAAGAGTACATATTAGAAGAAATTTTCATTATTGGGTTAGAGCATATTTTACTGGAATAAATTACAATATCATGACTACGAATAATGTGAAATCTCTAAATGGTTCGTTGAAGAGTGTTTGAGAATTTTTCATAGTTGGTTTGATTAAATATATCCGAAAGACACTGCAAAGATAGTTTTATGGAAGACATGCTGAAACATAAAAATGTGTAATCTACCTCTTATCACCTTTAGAGAAAAAGATGTGCATGAAATATAATGAATCAAATGGATTGGGGATAAATCAGATATCTCTGGACATTTATTAGGTCAGTGACATTTTAGAACACTACTTGTGGACTTGGATGAAAAAACATGTATGTGTAGGAATTTGATCTAGACAAGTTTCCATGCAAGCATGTAATTGCTATCGCAAGATTTAAAAGAGGTGACAATTATAATCTATGCAGCCACTTTTATACTAATATTTGTTGGAAGCAAGCGAATTTCCAAACATGTGATGGTTAGAAAAGTATTTTTACCATTGACACGAAGACAAGGTGGGCGACCATTTTAATTACAATTTTGACGAATTTGAACTCATTTCAGTTAAAATAGTAACTAAAATGACATAGATGTCGTTTCTTTTCATATAAAACAACAATAATGTCGTTGTAGTGTCAAACCTACAAAATGACATAATGCCATCCATACCATTTTATTACAAAGTTGACGAATCTAAACTCGTTTCAATAAAAATGGTAACTAAAACAACATAGATGTCGTTTCTTTTCATATATTAGTACTTTGAATTATTCATTTATTATAATTACGATTTTGACGAGTTTGAACTCATTTCAGTTAAAATAGTAACTAAAATGACATAGGTGTTGTTTTTTCTCATATAAAACGACAATGATATTTTGGTAGTGTCAAACCTACGAAATGACATAACGACATCCATACTGTTTCATTCAAAGTTGACGAATTTGAACTCGTTTCAATTAAAATGATAACTAAAACGACGTAGATATCGTTTCTTTTCATATATTAGTACTTTGAATTATTCATTTATTTATTAAAACAATTGTGCAGGCTACTTGTCTATTTGTTTTAATAATTCCTTCATAAAAAGAAAAGAAAGGAAAAATAAATCAAAACAATTATTCCCCCTCTTACCCACCATTGCACTACTTATCCTCCTTACACCACCATCCGAAAATTGAGCAATGGGCTACTGTATAATAACATAAGACTACCGAAAGCTTTAACCATACTTGTTCAACATATTAAGCCAATTGAGATTGTTAATAACTAGGGCACTCTCTCGTCTTGGTCTATACAAATCGATTGTCGGAGGAAGAGTTTGCCACCACCGACAAATTCAAACAATTATATTCTTATTCTAGAAGGATTATCCCCATCTCTAGTCCCAATCCCCGTTCAAGTTGTCACAACAGACGTCAAGAAAAGAGTATTAGTTGTGAATTACGACATTTTTTCTGCTAGGAGTCAATGAAGATGTAGATGGGAAAATTAGAGAGTTTTGTAGTTGCAACAATGTGTTCAATAAAGAGTGTTTAGATAGATAAAGTGTCAGTCGTGGAGGACGTCAGATTTTCCACCACCTCTAAACTCATTTGACTGGAAAGATGGAAGAACCTTAGAGAGAGAATTAGTATTTTGCTGGAAAATGAAACAAGTAGAGAGACAAAAGAAATGATGGTATTTATATATGTTCAAAAATAATAATTACAACCTTAGTTTTGAAATATTTTTGTAAGCTTGTTAGAAGTGAAATTGTATATTTAAATCATCATATTTATGTATTTTTTCCCAATTATAAAAATATAATATAAAATTTGAGAAACTATTGTGAGGTCAGCTGAGCCCACATGAGAGCATGTGAATCCACCCTTATTTACAATTAATCCACTTGTGCATCTGCCATCCCATTCTAGATTGGTTTTTGCCATTTAAATAGGGTCCAATGATTTGAATCTCATTTTAAAGGAGATTCAAATCAAGGGTTGCCACCTCAGCTCCTGTTAATAGGGCCTGGGCCCTTCCAGATTTGGCAACTTGGGTCAGATATTTTGTCATCCCTAATTTGCAGTTGTTCCGACTCGTGCATTTCTTGCGGAGTACAGGATGAAAAAAATGTGGGGGCCAAACTGAACATTTTGCCATATGTGTACTATAAATGGAGCTTAAATTTGCAGTTGTTCTATTTTTTTTATTTACTTTTAACATATAAACTCACTCAACGGAAAGTATCGACCACTCCACCACGCATTCTCGTCTCCTCTCTGTCCTGTGAATCGCAAAAATCTTTTAGGGTTTATACAAATCTTGCTATCAGATCCATTGTCTCTTTTACTTTCGGGTTGTACTTGTCTTCCTCCTTTCCTATTGGGTGAATCCATCAATAAATCAGCTTCTAAGGTGAAATACAGCTACTCCTGTCGTCGTTGCTGACGCCAAATCCATGAATGAAGGTTCGATTTATACGATCTATTTAATAATCAAATTTTCTTGTGTTTTTAAGGTGGTATTTCTCTCCGAATGTTGATTTGGTAAATGTATATGACGAATTGGTATTATTTTGTTTATAGATAAGAGAAAATTGGAGGAAGATGAAGAAGAACAAGTTGGGGCTAAGAAACAGAAAAATGATGATGTAGCAGCAGTAGAGGAACAAAAGATTGAGCTCAAAATTTCAGAAACCGAGGTTTCTATCTCTTCTTCTTTTTTATATTTGTGTATCCAAATTTCTCTTTTTCTTCTTTTTTTTTTTTTTTAAATATAGATTTCTCCCTTTTTGATTGGAGCCAAATTCCACTTTTCTACAAATCTGTTAATATTTTATTTGGAGTTCCCCCCCTCTGCTTGTATTTCCTTTATTATTTGTTTTCGACGATTTGGTGGAACAATAATTAATTTAGATTGGCACTTTCCCTGCTAATATTCTACCATGTAGAATAGTTATAGTAACTCTCTGTGGTCAGAGGGGGATTACTCTACCTTGAAGCTTAATTATGCTCATAGGATTACTTGAAGGGGGAAAAAAACCTTAAAAATGGGGATGAAGTGAGTCAATAATTTATCTTGGAAAGTTGTTTTTTTATTTCTTATTCTGTGATGTCAATTTCTATTTAGTAGTCTGCATATAGCGTGTGTTAGCCTATATTTTCTTATGTAGGTCCTGAAGAGAAATGTATTATTCCCACCCAAAAAGGAGCTTTTGGTGGCAGCTAAGAATTGCCTTGTGGATCTGATCGAAAAGGAAGATGAAATTAGTGGTTCAGCAGAGGATGCTGGTGCACCTGAGAAGGTTCCTGGAACTGCAACTAAGAATGACCTTGTACCTGCTACCAAGAAGAAAGACGATGCAAGCAATGGTACTGGTTCTGTTTCTGAAGATGAGGATGTTGCTGTAGCCAAGAATGTTCTTGCAGCTGGGTCTTCAGGTGAAGATCCCACTGCAACTAAAAAGGAAGGTGAGAGAAGTAAAGAAGAATCTGACCCTCCAAATATTCAAGGGATAAAGAAGGTACGACAAATTTTAGCACTGTGTAGTTCTTTATCCTTTTATAAATTTCCAGGTTCATTATGCTTGGACTTTGTTGGCAGTCTATCTCAATCTCAGAGAATAGCAATAGTTTAGAGGAGTCTCCTGAAGAGTATGAAGAAATATCTGCTGACAAAGAGACAGAAGACCCTTCCCAAAACCCAGTGAAAATGGTAAATGCAATATGTGAATTAACCTTTTCCACTATTTGAGCTATGCCTTTCTCTATCCTCCTCCCCTTTCACAAGCTTCTTTTTTTGTTGTGCTCCATGCATTCGTAGAACAAATGAACTATGTTAGCACCGCTTTTAGCCGACTTCTGAAGTGATTATACATGAATTAATTACCATATGCTATTATGCTTATATGTGTGTGAACGTTGATTTAGTTTGGGCCGTGAAAATTGTGCCTAAAATGCTATGAACAAATAATCAACTTTACTCTGGATCATACTTATGTAAGGTTTTCTTGCTGAAACAGAATACTGATGTAAAAATGATGGATGCCACGCCGACTATGCCAAATTCTGGGAAAGGGGGTTCCCTACACGTGGAGGCTGTGAGTGCCTATGTAGCACGGACACTTCAATTAGGGTAGCGTGTCCGTGTCGGACACGTGTCGATACCGACACTCTACCATAAACATTTTTCATTTTTTATTAAAAATATTATATATTTTTAACTCAAAGTTATTAATAAATAACAAATAGGTACTCATATTCTATGATGCTCAGACTCGGGTATGGGTATTGGGTACGGGTACGTATCTAAGTGTCAGATCTTTTATTTTCTAAAATGTAGGATACGGACATGGTTAAAAGAATCTAAATTTCGGACACGGGTACGTGAGTACTTTTTCAATCTTCAATTTTTTTTATTAACCCAAGATGTCATTTTGAATAGACCAAAATCAATAGTTCACAAAAAAGGAAATGAGTATTAAATAAGATGTTAAGACTAATAAAATACAATTTTGGGGTTTAGTTTTCAATTATAGGAAACGGGAAAGAAAAGGAAAAGAAAAAAGAAGAAGTAAAAAAGGGCGAAGTGTCCGGTTTAAATTTGGAGGATCCGACACATATCCCATATCCATATCCATGTCGCGTCGTGTTCGACACGGGTACTCCAACCATTTTGAAGAGTCCGAGCATCAAAGCTCATATTTAAAAGATTTCAATAAAAAAATTATTAGACAAGTATAAAACTAAATTTATACTATATAAATGAAGATTTTACAAAAATTTAATCAACGTGTCGGCACGTGTCATGTCGGTACTTTTTCTAAAAATTACGTGTCGACGTATCCAACACGTATCGTGTCGGACACACGTGTCCATGTCTATTATAGGATAGATTTTACTATATTTTTCTTTTATGATTACTTAGTGGTACATATTCAATCTTGTGTATAATTTCACAAAATTTTTTAACCTGTCATGTTGATCTCCCTTTCCTTTTTAAACCCATCTCTGTTTTTGATACATCATAAACTGAGTGCTTATATTTTTCCACACATCATTCGCTTATTTAATCGTGCTTGTGTAGAAAAACTTTAGTTCTTTTTATTTCCAGTTGACATAGGATTCCATTAGATTACCTTTTTTAGGGCATGCCTTTAGTTTTAACTTTAAATCTGCAGCCAAGGGACCCTGCCACACTGAGAGTTGAAACAACAGGCTCTAAAACTCTGTTTATTGGGAATCTGTGCTTCTCCATCGAGCGGACTGATGTGTATGTATATCGCATTCCTAAAGATCTTACACTAGAGTTAAGTTAAAATATTTGCTAAGAATTAAATAACATTACAGCGAGGAGTTTTTCAAAGATGCTGGGGAAATTGTAGATATTCGCTTCGCTATGAATGAAGACGATACATTTAGGGGATTTGGCCATATCGAGTTTGCTACTGTGGAAGCAGCAGAAAAGGTAGACTTTTACTTCATATTGTTGATTTTAATCCAATTTTAAGATATTCTTGTGCATTCATACAAGTATCCAAATTTATAACGTTACGGTTGATAGAGAAAATAGGAAGACTTCAGCTGTTGGTTTATAAGTCTTTAAGGGACTCTTCAATTTATATGTATTTAATTAGAAGTAACTACAGCTGCTTTAATCAGTTAGGGTGCACATTATTTATTTGCAGGCCCTCCTGGAATTAAATGGTAAACATTTGCTGGGTCGTCGGGTGAGACTTGACTACAATAGGGAAAAAGGATCCTACACACCACATAGTAGGTATGGCGCATGTCTATATTTTGTGTAATTTTACAGTTTATATAGATGTGTCTACATTTTATATGGTTTTTACGATTTTTGTAGATGATTTTAGATTCACAAACTTATGTTCTTTTATGCAGCACAGGGACAAGCTCAAGTCAGACGGGATGGAAAGCTCAAGAGCAAACAATATTTATTAGGGGATTTGATAAAAGAAACTGCGAAGACAAGGCATGTGTTGCTCTTGCATATCCCTCACATTTGAATCAATTTTCTCTCTCCATTATAGATTTGCTGAATTCATGATTGCAGATTAGGAGTGCACTGGGAGATCATTTTGTATCTTGTGGGGAAATTACAAAAATTTCCATTCCGAGAGATCAAGATGGTGGTGTTAAAGGGTTTGTCCACCCCCTTCTCCCTTCCTCCCTCTTCTTCTAGGGTATTTTATCCGAGTTAACTTTTATTGTTTCTCGTGTTGCTGTTATTAAAGAGCTTGCAAAATGCCATTTTATGTTATGTGATGCATTGATAGTGATATTTGATCCATGGGTAAAATACCAAGATCACTTGTGAAGGGCGAAGCAATACACTCCTAAGTTGGAGAATTGGTGTCCCACACATATAACATCAATTCACCTTGGATTAGGTGGGCTCATGTTCGACATTCCAAGTGGGACTGTCCTACGTTCTAATACATTTTTTTAAATTTTTGACTAGAGAGGGACATGGTCTTGATTCGTTCTCTGTGTCGATTCCCTCGTTTATATATTTTTTAAAGTTTGATGAGTTACTCAACCATGACACTCCAATGACATGTCTAGTTCCATTTTTTAATTTTGGGATATAAAATTGGGTTAAAATATGATTATTATAGTGTTTTGTAGAAAAGTCAAAATAAGATGAGTTTTATGAACTTTACATGGAATATCTTTATGTTTACTGTATGCAATTTCGTTACTTGGGCATTGCACTTTGATCGCATTAGTAATACTAAATGGAGCTAAAAAATATCTTAGTACAACAAATAACCCACCACTGAGGTTCAAAAAATTCACCAACAAAATTGGAAAAATCAAACTGAAAATGTGTTTGTTATATAGATAAATATGGAAAAGCATATATAAACATACTACTTCAAAATCTGATGCATCTCTAAAGTGGCACGGTCCTTTTTAGGGGGGAAAAAATTACTTGTCGTAGCTCATAGTATTGTGTCCATGTATGTGCTTCATAGATTTTGAAGAATCACAATTTGTGATTTTGACTTTTTTTTCATGCTAGGATGTGGCTGTGTTTGTATTTTGAATGGGATTAACTGTCATTCATGAGTGTAGTGCGTTCTCATGCCTGGGATTTTGGCCTTGTTCAACATTATTCTTATTAGACACTAATTTGGATAGATTTTTTGTAGCACGAACACTTCAATTGAAGTAGCGTGTCTTTGTCCGACACGTGTTGATACCGACACGCCTCAGACACTCTATTATAAGCATTTTTCTTTTTTATTAAAGATATTATTTTTAACTTAAAGTTATTATTAAATAACAAATAGGTACTCATTCCTAAAATATTTCAACAAAAAAAATAAAAATTAATATCAAGTATAAAATTAAATATATACTATATATAAATGAAAAAGTTTAAAGAATTTAATCAACATGCCGACGATGTGCCGTGTCGGTACTTTTTTGAAAAATTGCTTGTCAACGTATCCAACACATATCTTGTCGGAAATACGTGTCCATGTCGGTGCATTATAGATCATAACCCTATGCATTGAAGAATCACTGGAATTGAGATTTTCTATGAAAAAAAGAAAAAAGTTGGGTCATTATGTTGTTTGATGTCTTTGAACTGAATCAACTAGGGAACTGGGGATATGTTGGCTGTCCTCTAATTTTAGACCATTCTGTCATTCCAAATTTTCTTTTTTTCCACATGATTTGTGATGTATAATCTGTGTGCCATATTCCACACTTGATATGTGGGCTTTCGATATTTGTGATCAATTCACCATATTTTGAACAACAGCATAGCTTATATTGATTTCAAGGATGCCAATGCGTTTAACAATGCTCTGGAGCTCAATGGTTCTGAATTAGGAGAGGCTACCTTGACGGTGGAAGGGGCAAGGCCTAGAGGTGATGGTCGTGACAGTGCTTGGAGTGGCAGGAGTGGTGGTGGTAGATTTGGAGGTCGACATGTTGGTGGCCGTGGATATGGATATGGACACGGTGATCATTTTGGAGGCGGTGGCCATGGATATGGACATGGTGGTCATTTTGGAGGCCTTGGCCGTGATGGTTATTTTGGAGGCAGTGGCCGTGGATATGGTGGCCATTTTGGAGGCGATGGACGCCGTGGATATGGTGGCAATTTTGGAGGCGATGGACGTGGATATGGTGGCCATTTTGGAGGCGATGGACGTGGATATGGTGGCCATTTTGGAGGCGATGGACGTGGATATGGTGGCCATTTTGGAGGCGATGGACGTGGATATGGTGGCCATTTTGGAGGCGATGGACGTGGATATGGTGGCCATTTTGGAGGCGATGGACGTGGATATGGTGGTCGGTTTGGAGGTGATGGCCGTGGATATAGTGGTTGGTTTGGAGGTGGTGGTAGAGGATGGTGATCTCTCAGCAAGACAAGCCCTACAGTTGGAATTGGTATATACTTGCATCATTTCCATTTTTTGGGTATCAGAGCATTTTGTGTAAGCTTAAAAAGTTCGCCCATAAGTTTAACATAAATTTTTATTTATTGGTCTAAGTTGGAAATGATAGTAAGAAAATAGTAAGATATTGAAACATGTTTACAAACAAAAAGCTACTTAAAAGTGACTTTCACATTTTTCAGTGCCCGCATTTTATTCTCATATGAGTTGAGATTTTGATTAGTGTAGACTTGTATGTCCTTTGGTGATATATGCTCCTATTAAAAAATAGTGTCAAATATTTTTGATGTCTTTTGCACAATAAAGCAGTTGCGGGTGACAAAATTTAAAGAATTACTGGTGGACTGCTGAATTAACTTGTAATCATCTTCTGTTGCATATTGAAACAGAAATACATCTATTTTACTAATGAATAAATAAATGAATATTGGACTATGTCAATGACCGTTATTGTATAATTAGTATTGTGGAAGTTCAAGCTTTAGCGTGCTATGTTGATGAAATGGCTTGCTTGCTAACGATCTCATTGATTTCTCACTCTGCTTTTCTATTTTGAAGTTATCTGATGGATGTTTTATTGCAGGAAAGAGGATGGACGAGAACAAGTAAGCTTAGGAGGACTATAGAAGAGATGAGAGGGAGATGGGCTACGGAAAAAAGAAACCCCATGTGCTACCATGGGATTTGAGTTAAGTTTTAAAGCTCTTTCTTTCTTCTCTAGACACGATCTTTTTTGCGAGAGTTTGTAAGTATGGTAACTAAATACTTTGAATTTTATGTAATATGTTTCAGTGTTTTATGGGTTTTCTCGTGGACGCTATCAATTGTGGGTGGCTTATAGACTCGCTATAGACTATGGATCCGTTGAATCGTATGTCAAGATTTTGTTATAATCCTTTACTCTAGGAAGCACCAAGGCGAAGGTTGTGAAGAGAAAGTAATGAGCTTGGCATAAAGGCATTTTACCTAGGATATCGCCAGGTGAAAGGATGAAGTGAGGCCAATTTTCTCATTGTGAAGCTAGGTTTCTTTTCATTTGCAGTCACAATTTACAAATTTGTTTACCAACAGGTGATGTGGTGATATTTAATTGATTCAAAATCTCACCAACCAAGCAAAAATAGATAAATTTTCCCCCTTTTTTTACCACTCATCAATCTGTAAATGGTGATCTACAACGATCATTTTCCGGGATTCTTTGGGGGCTCAATTGCAGAAATGGTGGTAGAGAGTGCTGCCCTCCTGCCTCAGAGCATACCCACCGTAGGTACATTCTTATCTAGCAGAATTTTTTCGGCTTGCGTCTGATTAGCTAGTTGGTGAGGATGGTCGTTTTCTTCTCCGCAGCTCGCACTAAGTTTACTTTGTGTAATGAAAGGTAGTAGTACTCCAAGCTCGATGCTTCTCGCATTCCTACTTCAATTCATTCACCCGAAGGCCTTCGGCTTTACATGAGGGATTATATTTTTGACTTAAAATATGCGAGCCCAATTTTATTTTATTAGAAGTAAAATTGGTTGGGGACAACTAAAATTGCTTCTATTGAAAGTGACCATTTTACCATATAAATAAAATCCAGACGAAAAAAATGAAGAGATGAATCTTTATTGTTCATTAACCTGTACCAGCCGAAGCTATCCTTGCTCTGTTCCGAGTTTAGCCATTGTTTGAGACCCATTCTTTGAAAAAAAAAAAAAACTTTTCTAACCAGTATAGTTTCAAATATTAAGCGCCAAATAAGGTGTTACGCTACCGCGACAGCTTCAGTGCTTGTTTGGTAACCCCAAAATGGGCTCAAAGAAGGGTTAAATGTAGTGGAAACTACACAAATCCAAGGGTTTAAACATCACAATTCAAAAATCATGGCTTATGTTTCATTATGCAAAAATCAGGTTGGATTTAATAATTTAAATACTAATTTCTCTTAATTCAATTTTCTCAATCCTAATTTTACGTTATGTTTTCTCTCTCTATCGCCTTTATACTCTCCCTTCTCACTATCTTGAAACACCACTGTCGCAATCGTGGGCGACGGCGATAATGACGAAGGCGAGGCTTGGAAGAAACCTCCTCAGTTTTGATGGTGCAGCGACACTCCCTTCACAAACGGAGAAGAATCATTGCCCCCGCTTTTCAGATCAAATATGGCGACCAATTTTTGCATAACGTTGAGCGGCGATTTGTTGCGAAAATCGTGACCGGTTGCAATCTGTTGTCGAACATTGAACGCTAACAGTCATAGGTGAGGTGTTGGTGGTGGTGGACAATGTTGATGGTGGTGCCGTGGATATCGTGGATTTAGTGGCGAGTCTATGTGATCTACCTGTGATTGTATGTGTGGTGGTGTTGGTGGTAATGTGTGTGGTACCTCTGGCAGTGTTGATGCTATTGTGGTGGTGGCAATGGAGTGGTGGTTGTGCGGTGTTGGGGTAGTGGACATGCTGGTGGTGGTGCAAGTAGGAATCGTGGTGTTTTTTTGGTTGAGGGAGTGGTGGTGGTGATATTTTGGTTGTGTCGGGGAAATTGGTTGGTTATTGTTGTTAGTGGAACTAGCAGTGGTGGCAGTGTCGGCGGCGGAGGGTGAGGGTGGTGGTGGTATGTAATGTGACCAATTATTTGACCTGTGACTGATTGTTTGATTACCTATGACCAATTATTTCATTACGTGTGACTAATTATTTAACTGTGACCTTAAAATTTAATAATTATGACCAAAAAATTCAAAAATATGTGATTGATTAATAAATTGTGACATATAATTTTTTCATCTATGACCAATTAAATAAATCGTGACCAATAAAAATTTTCATTCGTGACCTCGAAATAATCTGTGACTTGTTAATTTGATAATATATGATCAATAAATAAGTTTGTGACCTATAATTATGAACATGTGACTGTTAATGGTATATATGTGGCCTTATTATTTTCAATTAATAAAATCTATTTATTTAATAAATGAAAATCTGATTTTTGCATTTTCAAAACTTTAGACATGAAAATTGCATTGTCCATACTTAATACATTAATTGTGAATTTTACCCTTAAATGTATTGGACCGCACCAAGCAAATATGGTAAAAGCAGTAGGTTTCTTTTCTCCACAAGACCTAAGGAAATGCATAAACTAATGAAAGTGAAATTTGAATGAACTATTGAGTTCTCTTTATTTCGGAACTCTATATTTTATACGCATTTTTAACTATACAATTATACAATAAATTATTATGAACATAAATTTTTTTTAATTTTTTTTTTTACTTTTTAATAATGCATTTTCCATAAAATCACTATTCGAAACATCATTTTCTCTTAGTTTCTCTTTATAACAACCATAAAAAAAGGGGTTAAATCAAAGAAATTTGTAAAAAGATGAAAAATCAAATAGTAAAGATATATTTAAATTATTTTTTATAATAATACCTAATTTGTGAATAAAAAGATATTATATAATGATTTACATACAAATTACGCCCCTATTTGGCCTTTATTCTCATTCTCATTCTTTTTCTCTCTCTTCTTTTTTTAATTACACAATTTTTCATAAAATAATATTACACGCAAATCAAAAACTCTTTATTCTTTTTTAACCACATATTTTAAAAAAAACACTATTATTACCATTAAAATTTGGCAAGAATGGGAGCCAAACGGGGGTGTAGTGTCAAAAAGAGGCTAAGTATTTTTTTATTTTTTTTTTGGTCGAAGAAATTTGAACTCGGTCATATTTCATCACATTGTATGTACGTAAACCATTATATAAATCATTATGTACATGTAGCACAATCATTACTGTATTTACTTTCTATAAAGAAAACTTAAAAGAGAAAATTTCATATTTAAGAGATTAATTATGACTCATTTCAAAACTAAGAGACGATGTTTAAAACTTCCAAAATCAGATTATTAATTTTATTTATGAAATAATTAATTACAAATATATTTTATTAAATAAATATATTAAGGTTTCAATTCTATACAATTGCTCACAGGGGTAGAACCAGGATCGAATTACAAGCTGGGCTAACATGTAAAAAAATATATATATAAATTTACACATTTAATTTTTTTTTTTGCCCTGAAAAACATTAAGTGGGCTGGAGAGGGGACTGGGCTGGGCTAGATCCTCCCTCGATTGCTCATAAATTATTTCTTGGTCACAAATTAAAAATTTTATAAGTTACAAATCAAAAAATTTATAAATCACAATTTATTTATTGGTCATAATAAAAATTTATAGGTCATACCATTTCTATTGATCACAAATTACAAATTTTATAAATCACTACCCAAAACGTTAAGTTATATTATTTATTGGTCACATTTATTTGCTAGATCCTCCCTCGATTGCTCATAAATTATTTCTTGGTCACAAATTAAAAATTTTATAAGTTACAAATCAAAAAATTTATAAATCACAATTTATTTATTGGTCATAATAAAAATTTATAGGTCATACCATTTCTATTGATCACAAATTACAAATTTTATAAATCACTACCCAAAACGTTAAGTTATATTATTTATTGGTCACATTTATTTATTTATCACAAATTATCCAATTTATAGGTCACAATTTCAAATAATTGATTACAAACACTCTTAATCCCACCACTTACCCCACCCAACCCCAATGTACCATTGCACCAATCCAAGTAGTTCCACCTCACCACCACTGCTAGAACCACCATCACCACTAGAGGTTGGCGCGAGTCGGACCAAAATTTTCGGGTATCTAGTAAATGGAACCGTCGGGTCCAAATATAGTTATGGAATCGTTCGGGTTCGGTTCTGTTAGGTTCGATTTCGTTCCGTACTAGAATTAAATTTTTTAATATTTATAACAACATTATATAAATATAACTAATGACACATTCAATGATTTTGGAATGTCAGAGATTAGTAGACTACCTTGTTCAAATGAACGTTACAGTCAAAGTTTCGATCGACAGAGGTTACAGCGTCGGTCGGCGATTGTATAGGTTTTGAAATGTCAGCGAGGCTACAAGCGTGAGTGCGAGAGTCGAGACAGCGTTATACACTTTAGTGTAGGTGTTTAGGGTTATTTAGTGGGTTGGATCTTGTTGGGCTAAGAAATGAAACAATAAAATGGATAATTGGGCCAAAAATAAAAAAATTAGAAATAAAACAAATTATTGAGCCAAAATTTTGGATTTAGAAATTGTTACTTTGTTTAGAAAAAATTAAAATTAAAATAATTTGATTTATTCAATATAAAAAAATTATAAAGATTCGGTTCTTGGTTTAGAACCGAGAACCGAACCGTACCCGTCGGTTTTAATTCAAATACCCATTCGAATATTTAATTTGATAAGAATTGTCAGGCTCGGTTCGATTCGATTCGATCGGCTCAGTTATGGAGATTTGCCCAACCCTAATCACCACCACTACCACAAACAAAATCATCGTCACACCGCCACCAACAAGTTCCAACAT